TTCATCTGATGAAGGAGTAAGTATATACTCCGAAATGTTGTGTGCCTAATAATAAAGAAGTTGACATCCATAAATTCTCTTCCTTATGTGTATCACTTCTATATGCCAATCAAAGACTTAATAAAATGACCGACATTTATATACCATCATAATACAAAGCGGACATACACATCCATGCCAACAACAAACACACTTTAGTCAGCTTGTTTACACGAGTAAACCTTGTTTATTGGTGTATCAGTAAGTTTATTCATTCTGGTCTTGATTTATTGCAGATCCTCTCATTTCTCGTTGGTCTCAGCATAATGTATGGGATCTTTAAATCCGTGGCTTTGTCCAGCTTGAGCTGTTCTGGCCGACGCATAATTTTGCCATCAGCAAGTGTTTTCCTGTGCGCCATTGCGGTGATTTAAACCTGGGAGAACTGATAACTTCTCTAAATGAAGGTAACAACATCACGTGTTTGGTTGGGGTCCCCGTTGATTACCGTTTGCAGAATTGCCCAAGTCTATTGGGCTTTTATGTGACAAATTTGCACATGTTAACATTATTGTGGCGTTTACATGGAGAGTGAAAGGTCGGTGCTTCGATGCCCGGCCGAGCCATATTAAAAAGATGCATTTGTTGTTACCCTGCCTGGCACTCGGCATTAATGGGGGAAAACATGCCGTGTCATGTAATAAAACCAGAGTAAGTCCGGGCGAGCACAAGCAGCCAGACAGATGAGTTGAGTTGATGAGATTGATGCCGATTTTTAGTGCTAGCTCACTGAGATACCATATCGAAGTTTAACAGACACAGTATACTGACTCCGAGCCGACCAGTCCATTTTAGCCCTCAATGCCGAGCGCCAGGCAGGGTAACAACAAGTACAATCTTTTTATGTATTTTAGTAGGACGCGGCCGGGAATCGAATCTGCGACCTTCCGCCCTCCGGGCGGGCACTCTACCACTAGACCACGACGGCGGTCGACAGATAGAAACATATACATACACACCTGCGCGATGCTCTATAAGTGCAATAACCTTGACCGCGACGTTAAACCCCATTTCACCTTACCCGACAGCATCCCTCCATCCCCTTACCTAGCCGATTCGACCCGTGATCCGGGGTAGAATAGGTCTTCTGCAACCCATGCTTGTCGTAAGGGGCGACTTACGGGCTCGGGTTGTCAGGCTCGCTGACTTGGTTGATACATGTCATCGTATCCCAAATGCGTGAACCGATGCTCATGATGTCAATAATTGGATTGTCTAGCCCAGACTCGATTATTTACAGACAGCCGTCATATAGCTGGAATATTGCTGAGTGCGGCGTTAAACTACAAACATAACCTAGCCGACTCACGGAGTCTCCCTACCTGCATCCCTCTCAGGAGTCAACGCCATTGATGTGGCACGGGCAGGGAGGGAGATTTTATTACGTTTCATGTGGTTTGGTAAGGCTACTGAGCAAAGAAGTTGCAATTTGTAGTTTACCGCCGCACTCAGCAATATTCCAGCTATATGGCGGCGGTCTGTGAATAATCGAGTCTGGACCACACAATCCAGTGACACACCAAGTTAGCGAGTCGGATACGACGCTGGTACGACAAACATGGTCGCTGGTGCCAATTCTAACCCGGAATCCAGGAATGGAGACAAGGGAAAGGTCGAAGACACCAACAAATGTGCTGAATATACAATTTCAGAAGAAAACACGTGTTTCGGCATAACAAGTTCACTCTTAAACCATTGAGCTGGTATATCTCCATATGTCTTACGACTTTAAAGTCTGGACCCCGATTATCCGGGAACTACATTTGCGCCAGATTTTGGCTAGGTTTGTTTGTTTGTTTGTTTGTTTGTTTGTTTGTTGTTTTAGGCTTCACTCGGCAATATTACAGCTATATGACGGCGGTCTGCAAATAATCGAGTCTGGACCAGACATTCCAGTGAGTGACATCATGAACATCGATCAACGCAACTGCGATACGATGACATGGATCAAGCAAGTCAGCCAGCACAACCCCTGCACCAAACAAACAAAGGAAACCTAACAACGAGACTAGCGTCGTTCCGGTATTACAAATAAGCAAGCAAAACAAGTTTGTTACCCTTGATCTGTATGTTCCATTCAACAGCCATACACCGCCACCATAGCGGACATTCATATCCACGTCGTTGACCTCCACTTTAGGCCTACATGATCACCACAATCAACCCGACAAATACAACATACCATATTCGACGTAATAAGCGCCCCGCTCTAATAAGCGACCATGGCGACTGGCTAGTGAACAATCTCAAGTAGCACCCCCACCGATTGATCAATGTACACAAGACTTATTTATTCGTGTATAATACACACTCGCGTGTTACATGCATCCTTAAGTATGGGCAATTAAATTCTGGAAAAATATATCTGTCGTATATAAACATTTTAGACGAAATTTACGATCTTTCAACTTTCTTTTCCCACCAAAATAATATTCTAATAAGAGCCCCTATTTCTAATTTTGAGAGTGAGTGAGTGAGTGAGTGAGTTGGGTTTAACGTCGCTTTTAACAGTATTCCAGTTATATCGCGGCGTGTCAGCTTAATGTGGGAGGAAAGCCCGAAGTGATGCAGGTCTCAGACGTTTACCACTTAGGTGAAACCCACGAGCACGGGTATGGTGCTGACAAACCTAGAAACATAATCGGGGCGAAACGGGATTCGAACCCACAATCATAGGTTTCTGGCGTGTCCAAGGGACGCAACTCTGCACAGCGAATCGCGGCGCTTTAGACGACTGGGCCACCCGTGTCCCCTCTAATTTTGAGAGCTCCCTGGGCGCTTATTACGGGAAATACGGTAGGTGCCTTCGGGTACCGTGCCTTCTGTAGAGACCGAGGTAGACTAAGTGTTGGGTGTCGGCTGAATGGGGAATCATTCGTTATTACAGATACGAGATGATATGGTTCACTGGTGATCATTGTACTGAATGCCGTGTCCACATTGACAGCATGAATGATCGCTCGCGTCTCACAGGAAAGAAATCTCAAACGCTTGGTGTATTGAAAATCGGCTCAATGTTTGTGTAAGACGACATGTAAAAAGAGGTTAATAGCAGCAATGGTGTTAAAGAGGTATTAAGTCAGGTGGCAGTTTTACCAAGTTTAGATTTATTCAAGTGATTAAAAAAACATGTTGGTCACTTACTCAAATTCAGGATGTATTAAGCTTGCAGCTAACAGTGCTTTAATTACCCACATACAATGCTTCAGTTACACACAGGACAAATAATCAGAATGATGAATCTTTCTTTAACAATATATATATATTTTCAAATCAAAGAACTAACCTATAGAAATGAAGTCGATGATGCTGATTGATTTGTTTCTTGTATACTCACAAATAATAAACTGCCGATCAAAAGAAAGTATACACTTGGAAAACCGATTTGACCAAAAAATTACAAACGTTATTAAAACGTTACTAGGCTAAAAAAAAGAGTCGCCGAAACGCCGGTGATTTTTAGCCACCTTCAAACATGGGTGTGTACGTTCTTTGGCCCAGAAGCTTATTATCTTCAGTCAAACATGTCACGTCACAACAGTGGAGTTTATAAGTTGTGAAGACCATTTCTGACGGGAATATTGCTAAAAGCGGCGTAAAAACGTACTCACTCACTCAACTCAACTTTAAGTGCTGTGACAAAGGCAAGAATCGCTGGTGAGTGAGTATGGTATTATGCATCTTTCAACACGATTTATCATATGCTGTATTGCTGTGGGAGATACAGAAAATAAACCAATGGCACATTTTACAACTCAAATCCAATCTGTAATCTTCTAAGTAGTTGGTTATATCGTCGAGGAGGGTGTGCTACACAAAGGAAGCCAATAGGATTATTATAATCTCACAGCCACAGGTTTCACGGCTCACTGCATTGTGACATCAAAGACCGGTAATAAATGACGACAGATTACGTTCGGGAGATATCGGTCTTGAACGTAGTCTGCACACTTATCGTGTATGTAAGTCTTATGGGAAAAAAACTTGGGCATTATGTAGGTATATGTTAATAAACTTTTAAACCACACACACACACGCACACACACACACACGCACACACACACACACACACACACACACACACACACACACACACACACACACACACACACACACACACACACACACACACACACACACACACACACACAGATAGACACGCAGACACACACTCACACACATGGAAGCTCATTTCTCCATTGACTCTTGGGCATTGAGATGGTCTAGTGGCTTAAGTGTCGCGTAACGAAAAAGACCCGGGTTCCATTTCCCACAAGGAAACCATGTGTGAAACCCATGCCGTTGTGATATGGTTGGATAACTGCAAAAATCTCGGCGTAAAACCGCCCATTGACTCTTGAGTTACAGATTAATCTAAACGAAATGTACAAGTGAGAAATCGATTTCCTAATAAAGAGAACTTTATGATATTAGTATTTTAAACTAAGTTAACCATTGTATATGATTGAATGAATGTTTCAAATTGTTTGTTTGTTGTTTAACGCCGCACTCAGCAATACATTCCAGCTTTGGGATTGCGGTCTGTAAATAATCGAGTCTGGACCAGACTCTCTGGTGATTGATATCATGAGCATCGATCTACACAATTGGGATACGATGACATGCATCAACCAAGTCAGCGAGCCTGACCACCCGATCCCGTTTGTCGCCTCTAAGGACAAGCATAGTCGCCTTTTACGGCAAGCATGGGTTGCTGAAGACCTATTCTATCCCGGATTTTCACTGGTTGATTGGATAAGATGGTGAGTGAGTTAAGGGATTTAACGCTGCTTTCAATAGTATTTCAGTTACACCACACCGTGTTTTCTACACATGGAACCCCAGTACAATAGAATCTGCAGATCTGAAGGTTATTACAAGCACAAGTATGGCGCTAACTATGGACAAAACTTTCATATTGGCCTAACTAACAATGTCACTTTCAAAAACAAAACGTGATATTCTGTAAGAAAGATTTATTTTCAGACATGATAGTTTTTTGTCACATCAATAAATTATCTGATCCTTATGTACAAGTATGATACAATTTGTACAATGGTGCGTAGATACAGTAAATACAGGATCTGTACAGTGTGTCAAACAAACAATTGTTCTCTATGAACAGGGGTTCTACAACGTGATGATCACAGTCGTGGCAATACAAAAAGCATTCGAAAAGATGCATGCAGCTCGCAGCATTCCGATTGTGAACAATGACAATTTATCAGCTTCATCCTTTTTCATTTTCAACTTTTGACAATAATTTAACAACATAAAAACATGGAGCATAATGTGCCATATATAACATAAAGAGTTTCAGTTTAAACCAGCATGACGTAGAGTGAACTCCGTTAATACGAACGGTACCGTTATTAGTACGTCGTCTGGATTGACACATTTCGGAATGAACGAATTATTAGAATGTAGTAATTATATACTATCAAAAGTAATTGTCATGACAGAATAACTATTATAATATGAAAGAATCGGGTGTCCTTTTGTTCTTTTAAGTAGTATATAATGAAGATCCGACAATAATTGCCCGGGAAGGCAGGTGTCCGCATTAGACGATGTTCGGATTAATGGCATTTCACAGTATTGAAATTCTACTTTATCTTTGAACTGAACGCGATTGAATATATGCCTAACAATATCCTAATGTACAGGAAAGCAATGAGAACAATCACGTACAGAAGTATAAGCTGAAAAAGGATAATCGCATTACATTATCAGCAATGCTTAATTCCCATGAGTAAGCCCATATGCAGCTATACTACCCCGCGGCGAGCATGTGAGACCTGCACACCGTCCTTCCACATGCTCTATGCACTGTGTATACACCCATGAAAATAATCCATAACGATCGGGTTTCGAAACCATAAATATTTATCACCGCCAAGCCGTGACTCCAGCACAATGCCAAGTATACACACGTTCACATAAGCCATACTTCGGAGTACAGAGACAATTACATGACTTAAAAGGCACTTTAAATTCCAAAACAGGAATGTAAGCTGGTCGATGGTCATTGTCCGGGGATGGAACAATTAAGCCAGAGACATGCAAGGCTGGACCCCGATGAAGCTAAGTCGCTAGAACAACCGACAGGGAATCAGGAATATTACTGTTCATCCTCATTGATCTGAAGGAGATGGGGATGATGAAGCCACGCCTGCGTACTCAAGTGTCTGGGATAAATCCATACGGGAGTAGGCTGTGGTACCTTATCATGTCCTTGGTTGCACTTACGCTTCTATTTATGGAGTCCGTAGATTCAAGATAATTCAAGAGGTTTTCTTTAAGCAACGGTGGCATTTGAGATCATCTATTAAAATGACATTAATCATCATTGACCGTTTGACGATACAAAGATTACAAATAAAATTTTACGCACATGATGCTCGCAACCAACAGCAAGAATGCTGTAGAAAACACGCATTATGGTCAAGTTAAGCAACCCGCCTATTTTGAGCCGCAGCTGACGTAGCCTAAAGAGGCCACAAGGTACATTAGAATCAAGTATATTTTCATCGACACACGCACGCACGCGCGCTCCCTTTCAAACCAGTTTTGATAACATCATGAGAAATAAGACTATTTTTCCAACGGGACTAACCAAAAACATTCCACGAGTGCCAAGCAGAGAGTGTGTAAATTTAACGCCTCTTTGAACAATACTTGAGGTTTACCACGGTGTATCTAACAACTAAACTTTGAATAAACACACCAAAGTGACGTAGATCGTAGACGTTACTATCTTGATTAAAACCACGGGTATAGGTATAGATGACAGACCAAGGATCATAATCTGGGCGTATCTGGGATTCGAACCTACAACCAGCGGATCCTAGCAAACTAATTGGCACTTAGGAAAACGACGCCCAAGAACACTGCTACACACATACCCACTTTGATCCATGAAGAGAAGTACTGTGTAACATTAATTTAAGAGTTTCCCAACCACGTGGTTAATATTGTGTGACTCTAACGTAAAACTGACTGTGAACACATGTTCCTCAGAGCCACCATTAGGCACCGTGTCTATAGGCTATCTGCTGCATTGTGTGACCACAAGAAGAATCAGATAACATAATATCAAGTAATGACTCCACGAATACTGAAGGTAAAAGGTTTCCATGTGATTGTTAATGGACCTATCACGCTATGCGATGTATCACAGATAAGTATCACAGACTGTTGAGCGTTCCTATGTTCCTGCATGAAAGTCCTACACGCAGCTACTTCCAAGTGACGACACGGGTGCTTCTATTTAACCCAGCCTCGAGTGCAGGTTGAGTTGAAGCTTTCTCACAGACGTCCTTCCCGCAGTGTAGGTAATAGTGGCATTAAGATAAGAGACCTTGTTTCACACCAGTCTCAGACAATGTTTTTGGTCCTTGACATGATTGTGTGTTCACTGTTCGTACTGAGCTAAATCAAACTGAAAAGTAATGTATTCTGCTGTAAGAAATTTGGATTTTTAGTATATAGGTATGAATATATAACCATTTGGACGATACTGTTATGTTCCAAGAATAAATTCACAATGCATAAAATCGTATATAAGATTTCATAAATAATAAATGCAGACTTAATATTCAAGGAGAAAAAACTAATTAAAATTCATCTGAAAGTTTCCCAAAACATGTCAAACGAAACTTAATAAATATAATGATGGTTGATGGGTTTTGTTCACACAAGTGTCAAACAGATTAAAATAGTATTTCAAGGTAATACGTGTTCAACGTTTTGTGGTTTAACAGGACTTGTCACTTGTTGCAATGTGCCATTTGGTAAATCCTCCACGACCCCCGGGAATCCATGTACAGGCAATCCTCTTTGTAAATCAATCCTACTTGAGCCAGCTTTGTCCCAATAGGATCCAACTATTTCGGTTAGCACTTGCTAGTTACCTGGATGACCTTCCACTCGTGTTCGTCCACAATGAAAATATGCACAATAGTAAATTAACAGTGTGTTTGTCGAATGCTGTCAAAACAGTACTGTTCCGTTCATGCCGATTACGGAAACACATGACCATCACTATAATCTATGTATTATGATACTTAGATCGGTATTTTCGAGCATCCTGGCCAAATAAATCCATTGGTGAATTGAAAAAATGTTAGTATTTGTTTAGTAGGGGGTCATTTATACATGTTGGCCTCCCGATTTGGAACAAAATGCATCCCCGCACATTTACAAAAGAACTCTCTTGGGAGGACTGTCTGTATCTCGAATAATAAAGTGATAATCCACTCACATGCACAACATATTTGCATCTGTTTGGTAGGAAACCCAAAGGCACTCAGGAACACATTCTTCTTCCCTCACATAATCCGTTCAACGCCACCCATTGCTCACAACATCTAAAACCGCCTCCCTCTCATCAGCTTTAGCTTCTGTTTATAGATATCATAATAGCCAAAGTTCTGGACCTTAAAGTCAATGGCAGGCAGACTTGGTGGTGTGAGAGGGCTGGGGATTCGATGTTCACTTTGCCGAAGGTCCTCTAAACTGATACTGGATCCTTTAGAAATTGGTTCCAAACTTTTGGAAGCTGGCTTTTTTGCCTTTGGCCTGTTGGCTCTGGCACGAACAGGCTCCTGCAGAGGTGTAGTTGTCACAACGACGATGGGGTCGTTTTCCTTGTATATATCGTCCACCCATCCCTGCAGCTGCTTCACCTTGATGTCCGAGTCCACCTGCTTCTTCTCCATTTTCTCAAGCCTCGACGTAAGCACTGTTTTCTCAGTCTTCCGGTTTGTCACCTCCATGTTTCTCTCAACAAGCATCTGCCGAATGCGTCTATTTTCGTCTATCAGTTTCTTGTTATTACTTTCTATCTCGCTTACGTGATCTCTTTTGCTTTCCCATTCCTTCTGTTCCCGTTCCAGTTCTCGAACTTTCTCATTCAAGGAATCAAATTTCATATTCATTTCAAATGTTTCAGTTTCCAGTTTAGATATATAGTTTGATTTTCGTTCCATCTCTTCTTTCGTCGTTTTCATCATTTGTTGCTCGGTGGACAACTTTTCCCGGAATGTTTCAGCTTCAGTTTCAGCTGAAGCCGCAGCATTAGCAAGCCCTCGTTTCAATTCTTCTATATAACTCTTGTTATCAGACTTTTCACGCTTAAGTTTTTTGTTTCCTTCAGCCTTCTTCCCAAGCTCATCATTCAATGTTTTCACCTTTTCTTTCATGTCAGATATATCTTTCTTCAGTAATCTCAGCTCTGCATTTTCAGATTTCAATTTTTCGATTTCTTTTTTCAAACTTTCAATCTGATTTTGCAGATCTGCATTGGCTGACTTTCTTTTCCTGAGTGCATCTTTCATGCTGAAAATTTCGACATCTTTTTCTTTTACTGTTTCGTCAACCTTACCTTTCTCTGCCACAAGGTCTTTGAATTTTTGCTGGAATTGTTCCAACTCTCGCGTGATGTTATTCAAATTTTTGCGCACATGTTCTAACTCTGTTTGGCTCTGTTTGAGGTCTTTTTGAATTTCCTTATCACTTTGGAGAGCTTTCCCTAGTTCTTCAAGTTCTCGTCTTTTCTCACTTAAACTCTCAGTTAATGCTTTATTCTCAGATTGCAGATCAACAATTTTCATTTCAAGATCGGAAACTGAAGTTTTCAGATTATCATAGTCAGATTCAATCTTCTTGTTTTGGCTTTGAAGATCCCGAATTTCCTCATTCTTCTTAGATTCGGTGGAATTGAGGGCCTTTTGCAATGCTTCTATATCAGACGTGAGTCTATGAACTTTGTTGCCCAGATCGGACTTCTCAGTCTTGAGTTTTTGGTTATCCATCCACAACTCTTGGTTCTCTCTATCTAGCTTCTCCGACCTCTGCAGTAGGTGTTGATTTTCTTTTCTTACGTCCTCCACATGGGAGGTCTTGTTAGTCTCCAAACTCTCCATTCTGGCACGTAAGGTTTTATTTTCTTCTGACAAATTGTCAACATCGCTTACAAACAGTTTCGCTTCATCCTCCAGCTGCTTTATCCTTTTTTTATATGCGGCTTCGGCTCGAATCAAACCATCCCTTTCTAGCCGAATTTGTTCATAAGTTTCCCGCCTATCTGAATCAACAGAGTTTCTTGTTTGCCCATAGGCATTTGGCACTGTTCGGGACATTTCGTCCCTTCCCGTATTAATCCGTGTGTCAGAGTTTCGTGTTGGTTTATAAACCCCCTTTTGAGGGTGTAAAGGCACTGGATCATCTTTCATTTCCTCGTATCGAAACGTGTTGTCTCTAGGGGTAGACACATCAACGTCCTCGTACCTTGAGGGCGAAAGTTTTCGAGACCGAGTACCATCTTTTGCTCTGTCTTGTGACATCGAATTCGTCATACCACGATCCGGTCTGTTCCGGGGCCTACTTGGCCTATTATCGCTCACAGACACATCAGACTCAGATCGTTTTCTTTTTGACATATCAACATGCCTATCCCCCTTCTTTGAATTCGAGGAAGGAGAAGCTTGAGCAGATGTTTCGCTTTGTTTACCTCTGTTACTCGAACTCGCCGAACTATCCGAATGTTTCCGGTCATCTTTTCTGGCCTTCTTCCCACCTTCAACCTGCTTCGATGGACTGGGGTCCCGTCTTGGTGATTCGCGCAGACGCTTGGACAGAGAATCAGAGAGAGGAGGCCTTGGTTTGTCGTCTGTTTTGGGGTGGTTTGGAACTGGAGCAGGAGAATTACCCTTGGATATTTTACTGTTGAGTGAACTCAGCGCTCCTTTCGACGAAGTAGTCTGCTGCTGTGAATCGTTTGAGACCTCAGGTTTAGAGGTACTGACTGGTGGTACATTGGCAAACTTGCTAATATTATTCCCTCCGGTAGGTTTCGAATCCTTTGAACTTTTGTCAGATACACTGTTAGCATTTTTGTCAGTCTTTTTAGCTTCCCTCTTCGATTTCTTGGCCGCCGACTCAGGCTCTACTACAGGTATTTCTATATCACCTCGTTTAATGCTGTTCCCTTTGATAGAATCGGCCGGTGCTGTGTCAAATGTGCCCTGCCGAGCAATAGTTCCTATCTGCGACATTATATCACTGTAGTGTTTCACCCCATTCCTGTTTCAGCACACGATCACAGCCAGCAATCGTTATGATCTGAGCTTTGGATCCCTTGCCATACCGCGTCCCAGTCAGTCTGAAAAAATGAAGAACAATATTGAGCTCATCGATCACACAATCATAAAACAGTCCAGTCGGCGGAGTGAAGTAATCAGTGACAAAGAGATAATTTAGATTACGTGACACCGGGGTAAATACCCGGGTTGGTTACAATCCTGTACCGGTGCGGGTGTAAGATTGACTTGATATGTCGTAGCTCTCGGCAGGTGAGCCAACATATAAATATAACCAGATTACGACACAGCCATTGAGTGAAGGTTATGAAGAATGTGGTCCACATCAGCCTCTGTATGCCTGCCTGGGTATTTAATAAACTGTGGACAAACCAAGTATCCACAGCCACACAATCACGCACATGCAATTACAATAAATCACCACGCTGGTCTTTTCCATGTCACAAAGTCAAGGCTTTACCAGTGAGTGACTGAATTGGGTTAACGTCGATCGTAACAGTATTTCAGTTATATCACGGCGTGTCAGCTTGATGTGGGAGGAACGCCCGCAATGATGCAGGTCTCAGACGTTTTCCTTTTGGGTGAAACCAACGAGTATGGGTATGGTGCTGACAAATCTAGAAATAAAATTGGTGCGAATCAGGATTCGAAGCCACGATCATTTTGTCGTGCCAAAGTACCGCACCTCTGCACAATAAGTTGACTGGGCTTACACCAATGACAGTGTTAAGAAACGACACTGACTACCTATGTTACATGTATGGTTGAACATTGTTCAGTAACTATCAACATGTACATTTTAGAATGTAATGCAACCTGTTTATAGTCCACATAAAATTTGACGTGATCTCTTTAAGGGCTGAAACAGATGCCAGGTTATTATAAAGCCACCTATTCATATTACTCATGTGGAATTTTGATGATAATTTTGACAATGCATGTTTTAGGGCGGTAAGAATGCCATGTGGCCCAAACTAGATTCATTTCTATAACTGCTTCTTGCCGTGGCTGATTGCATCACGCACGCTCCATCCCCCTATAGGTTTCCAGTGTGAGTGTTGGTTTGAAAACATTGGTGCAAGTCCATTAATATTAAACAAACACTGCAACAAATGTCAACACGTCTCTGTCCAATGCAGCACAGTTGGTATTTCCATAGCAACTGAAGATCAAACGAGCTATCTAGATGTCATTTCGTGTTTAAAGTCATATTCGTCACTGATGCCATATCAAACTGTTACCAGATGTAACGTGATGATGTCGATGCAGTGATGTAGGTTTAAAGTGCTGTACAGTTTGGGACTTATTTACTTAATACTTCACAGTATCACCGAACCCACGCCTACTTGATAATGCCACAACAGTAATTTTAGACTACTACAACACCAACTCGAGAATGCCACAACAACAACTTAAGACGGCCACAACACCAACTTCCGACTGCCACAACACCAATTTGGGAATGCCACAACACCAGCTCGTGACTGCCACAACACCAGCTTTAGACTGCCACAACACCAGCTCGTGACTGCCACAACACCAGCTTTAGAACTCGTGACTGCCACAACACCAGCTTTAGACTGCCACAACACCAGCTCGTGACTGCCACAACACCAGCTTTAGACTGCCACAACACCAGCTCGTGACTGCCACAACACCAGCTTTAGACTGCCACAACACCAGCTTTAGACTGCCACAACACCAGCTCGTGACTGCCACAACACCAGCTTTAGACTGCCACAACACCAGCTCGTGACTGCCACAACACCAGCTTTAGACTGCCACAACACCAGCTCGTGACTGCCACAACACCAGCTTTAGACTGCCACAACACCAGCTCGTGACTGCCACAACACCAGCTTTAGACTGCCACAACACCAGCTCGTGACTGCCACAACACCAGCTTTAGACTGCCACAACACCAGCTCGTGACTGCCACAACACCAGCTTTAGACTGCCACAACACCAGCTCGTGACTGCCACAACACCAGCTCGTGACTGCCACAACACCAGCTTGACACAACCTCCAACCCGCTACTACAACAGGACCAACTCGACATTACTGCACCGCGCGTCAACTGCTGCAAAGCCAACACCAACTCGACTTTATACAACACAACGCCAAATCACCATTTCGACACTTCCCCACCGCAACACGACACTGTACTGTGTATTTACTTGGTAATAATATATTGCATTCATATCCGTCTACCTGGCGCTAGGCATTAAGGGCTAAAACAAGGACTGGTCGTCTCGGAGTCAGCATACTGTGTCTGAGTGGGGTATCCATGTTAAACTGTGTCATATTACCTCAATGGGGTAGCACTGTAAAACCAGCATACGCAGGGACCAGTACACAGCAATATGAGTGTAATAACAGTCTTGAACGCGAGGTTATGGCCTATGTCACCTCACATCACATAACCTCAAATCCTCGAGATCCATTTTTCTTACAACAAACCCAGGTGGCATTCAAGCTGCCAGTTTACATGGCCGGGGTATATAACCCGATCAGTAACTCTGGCTGACAAGCTGATCGACTTACACTCCCCGCTGCTTATCATGGAAAGCATAGAAATCGTTTGTAATCGAATTATTTTGACTTATTTGATGGACGTAATACAGATATTGTATAACCAGGTGACACATATACAGTTAAAGTTGGTGCTACATACGTGGCATACTGTTACAACTTGCCGTTAACGAAACACAGTTATGATAAACTGTATTTGGTATGTCCATTACTTGCAGTGCTCTTTTGATATAACGAGGTCGGATATAACGAGATATCGGCTATAACGCTTCCGAGGAGTCAGTGTGGTTAAAAACATCAATGTGAATAATAATTCGGTTGGTACGAAGAGAGTTTGTTTAAGACCCCTCCCCGGTCGTTATAATAAACAGGTTGTGAATAGGGGTAATCATATTCGTATCTCTGTTACAATTGAAAATAGACCAGATAATCAATAACAGATCTAAAACACGGAAGAAACCAATTCGACCACATGTATACTCGTACTCCACAAGTAATAAAAACATACAATAGAGTCCAATTTCTCTTAGGAAACATGAATCAAGGAAATATAGGCCTCCTTGATAAAAAACGATGCAGAGGTAGTGAATAGGCCCAGGGTATCTATCATCAAACAGAAAGTATACACCAATGTTTGACGGTGACTAAAAATGAAACAAACATGAATTGGTTATTCCATGGTGATGTATTTCATACGGGAATCAAAGTTGTGTTTTGGGCCTGAAGTTTGCAGTGTTTCGGCGACTGTTTTCAGTAAAGTAACGTTTTGATGACGTTTGAAATTATTTGGTCAAATTCAATTTGTGTATATTTTATTTTGCCCGACAGTTTCATAAGATGGATATATTATATGTTGAATTGTCGTGGCAATGAGGTGATGCCATTTTCAAAGTGTGTCGGGTAAATTATCCAGTATGTCTTGGACCGACCGTGATAGACAACTGTTGGATAATTGTTGACTGAGATGCGCGCTCTACTTGCTCAACTACATCTAGAATGCCAAACAGTTGCTTATAAATGAATTGAAATGTTTGACAGACCAAAGAAATTTACCTCAGTGGTTAAAGAAGGGTATGGCGATGCTGGGTGTTTACGGGTTTAATCAGTGTTATATATCCCATAATGTTATACCCGTGACCATATGGAATAGAAGGCCTAGGAAGTATAGCGAAAACATCATGAGAGAGTGAAACATTTGATGTAATGTCGCCTAATTATTCAAAACGATATTTGTATTAAGAAATAACATAACCAGATTTCTGTAGCCATATTCAGTATCAGGACTTTCTGTCACCAGCAGCAAGACGCGTTAAGATGCCAATAAAACATCCTAATACATGTACTATAATAACATAATACACATCACAGGCATCGTAATACATGTACTATAATAACATAATACACATCACAGACATCGTAATACATGTACTTTAATAACATAATACACATAACAGACATCGTAATACATGTACTATAATAACATAATACACATCACAGACATCGTAATACATGTACTATAATAACATAATACACATCACAGACATCGTAAACAAAGAAAGAAAATTCTTTGTTTTTCCCAATGGCCAAAAAAGACACAACGTACGAAATCTACTCCCTAAAAATACCGGTTCCTCACCTACCTAGGATACTCCGTGAGAGGAGAGAGGTACACTCCACACGCGCCTACCACAGCAGACATCTGCCCCACCCTGCTGCCCCTACCTCTACTCCCTGGGGATCAATACCAGTCCCACATCAACACCTTTCTCACGAGCGCAGGGCACGCACTGTGGAGATTAGAAGATCGCGTGTGAAATGGCTTCCACGATAAATACAGGCCTTTCCAAAGTCAAAATCTTTTCTGTGTATGGCTTAGAAAGGAACAATTGTGTGTTCCGCTTTCGCGTAAGTCAATACTGCCTATAAATATTTGATGTATATCGTAAACGGACGGAATAACACGACGGTAAAGACGTGTAGATAGGTATTGACCAACTTGAGTATCAAGATGTTGAGATGATAGTTTCTAGCCTGGAGTGAGTGAGGTAGTGAGTGAGTGAGTTAGGTCAACGTCGCTTTGTGTGTCCGTTATATCACATTGTGATTTATAAGAGTAAAACCACATTAAAGTGATTACTAATCTGTTAAGCTAGGAATGTAGTTGAGTAGAAGCTATTTATTAAGTTAGTCATTTATTTTATTTTTTGGTATAAAGTCATTTAATTTATCTAGTTTAATTCATTCAATTGATCTAAGTCAGGTTAGTGTATTAAAAGGGATGAGACAACTACCACTTCGTGAAACCAGAGACAATAACCAGCTATACCGTGGCACTCACCAGCGCCCCAGTCCACAAAGCGATCCTAGCGCTAAGATGATCGTAACTCCCATTCTTTAGCATAGGCTTACGACAGTCGTAGCGCTACGATCGCTTTGTGGAACGGGGCCAAGCACGGGTAGGTTGTGACACACCATGGCTCCTAATCGGAGTGAACTGGGGATTCGAACACACGTTGGGCAGATCATGGG